GCTCAGCCACTGTGGCTGCTCCCATGCCAGTGTGGCTCTCTGTGCAATGGCTCCAGCCAGCTGGTGTGTGAGCTTGGTGTTGTGCCAGGCCCTTGGTGCCCACCAGCATCTTGTGCCCAGATCTCCCCCTGCAGCCCATGGTGGGAGGGATGACACCCCCCATGTTAGGGGGATGTACTGGGACAGAGCCAAATACTTCTGCATCCCATGGAGACAAGGAGGAAGGTTTTGCAGCACTGCTTCAAACCTTGTAGGGGCCAGACTCTTACAGGGACCCCCAACTGACTGCAGACCCTTTCCTCTGCAGTCTGTGGCCCCACAGTCCTGCAAAACAATGTGCTCCCTGCCTGTGCCTGCAGCATCTACCAGCCCTGAGTTTCACTGTATGGCTACTTCATCCGCACCAGAAGAGCCCAGCAGTGCCTGGGCAGCCTCTCCTCCAGCCTGGACACCAGCCCTCAGGAGCATGAGCAGTCTGACAACCTCTTGGAGAGGGTCTGCTCCTCCTCTGGCTCCTCAGATGACCCCCAGCCCCCTGAGAGGGACAGGAGCAGAGCCAGCATCATGGTCCAGGACATCCTCACTGCTTCCCAGTGCCAGCCTATGCTCCAGCATGTCTACTAGTGCTGTGTTGTGTTACTGCATCTTCCCCACGGTATGGTTGGTCAAGACCCAGATCCAGGACAGCTCCAAGAAAGTCTACCGCTGCAAGGATTTCTACCGCAGGCTCAAGGCCCTGGAGGAACAGGAGAGCAAGACACAGGAGGCTGCAGCGCACAGGGTGTCCATGTAGCCCTATCAGCCCGGCGGCCGCCGCGGGAGGGCACTGCTCCATCACTCCTGTCAGCGGCAGAATGAATTGTTTTAGGATCAGCCAGCCCTGCCCGTGTGCTGCTCTTGCCTACACAACACTTCTGCCATCCCTACTTTTTCTTCCCCAGCACTCAAAAATCTCCTGAGCCCCTGAAAGTGCTACTTAGCATCTCTGCAGCAACATGGGGAGCTGGGCAGATGTTAGGAATACCCTGGCACTCTCAAGCTGTTGGGTCAGCTCTGAGACAAGCCTGTGCTGTGCAGTGGCTGAAGAGGAAGAGGGGAACCACTCTACCCCCAGCAATATTCAGGGCACTTTGCTCTTGTGGGCAGCCTGCATCTAGCACCACAAGCAGAAATCCCCCAAGGAGGAGGCTTAGGTTGGAGGAGGTCTGTACAAGGCCAGAGGATGCCACTGCTGGTGCTGGCTGCCAGCATGGAGGGGGAGGGAAGTACAGAAAGAGAGAGAGTCAGCGAGAAGGAAGAGACAACAGAAAGCCTTGAGAAATAGAAAGATTTATTTAGCAAAAGCCAGTTGACTAATGACAACACCCAAGGGTTAAGTGCACTTACATTGACAGATTGGTTTCCCAGATAGAGTCAACAGTTAGTAATATGACAGTTGTAGGAAAAGAAAGGACAAAAAATATAGCTATAAATTCCCTGTCAAGGTCCATAACAAAAGTCAGAGGCTAGAGAGGCGTCTTGGAGGCAGCACTGACTTAGGAGGAGGGTCATTTACACATGTACACCTGTGGTGCGGCATGATGCTGGCAGGGTCCCACCTGGCTCCGGCCGGAGCCCAAACCCGCAGCTGGTCCTGATGGCTCTTCACGGGACACTGCCTGGGCTGTGTGTGCAGCAGGGATGGACCGGAGCGGTGGCTCAGCAGATGGGTTCCCCCTGCCTGCTTTCTGAGGCAGACCAGCCTGGAAGAGACCTCTGGCCTGCTGCTGCTCCTCCTGGGCTCTCCTTTCATCTGCCCTGGGTGTATGGCTGAGCTTCTGCTGTCTCCTCTCCTGCACAATCTGTCTGCCTGCATGGAAATCTCTCTCCAAGCTCATCCATGCATCCCTACTGTCTGTGCCGTGTACTGTGCATGCTGCCATCCTCATCCCTTCATTCTAGTGGGACTAGCCACCCACCCCATGCTTCCACCTCCAACTGCTGTGAGCTGGCAGTGGGATGTCAGTGTCCCCAGCAGAGGGGCTGGCACACAGGTGTGCCCACAGCGGTGTGGGACAGGGCATATAGAGGTAGTGGTGGCCAGAGAACAGGAGCACCCATGCATCAAACAGCACCCTCTCCCACTCTGCCACCTCTGTGGCTGGTGCAGGGGCTCCCCTGAACACCAAGGCACTGCTGGGAACACTGAAACATGTCCTTCCTTCCTTCCCACTAGGACTCTCTAGCTCCTCACAGCATCCAGCCCTTTCTTGTGGTGGAGGGTACATAGCACAGCTCATACCGACCCCAGGGGTCTCATCCACACCTCACTCCTCAGCAGCCCACAGTCCCAAGGGGACCAGGGCAGAAAGAAGTGATGGACCTTCCTCAGCAGCCAGGCTATGCCCTGGAGAAGAGCAAGACCTGGTATCAGCCAGGGGTTAGTTGCAGGCAGATTGAACAGAGACAGAGCTGGCAAAGGCAAGAGCAGCATGGAAGCAAGAAAGCAAAGCAGAAGCAGGATAGGAGGGAGGATGAGGAGGAAGACAACTGTGCCAATCCCCACCTCACCAAGTGTTTCCACATGGAGCAGGGCAGACATCAGGACTCTGGTTCATACCCCTTCAGTAGTGGCCTCTTAGAGGCTGCAGCAACAGGCAGTTGATAAAAGTGCTTGCAGAAAAGAAACAAGCTTTGGATCCCTTGGAGGCCCCTACAGACAGCTCTCAGCCATGAGCATCTTGGGGACTGGTGGGAGACCCTGAGATCTTGGATTCACTTTTCTGGGGGGTGCAAACCAGAGATGTGATGGAGCTCCCCTGCAGACACCAGCAGTTCTCTCCCCAACAAGGGGTGGAAGCATGCTCATCCCTGCAGACAGCCAATGCCAACGCTGCAGCCCCCAGCCCTGGTTTGGGGAAAAACAACTGCTTGGAAATGGGAGGATTTGTCCACAAAGCAAAGCAGGGAGTTTGTGGCAATGGGGGTGTGGGGAAGTGCTTGAAAACGTGACTTGAGAGCACCAGAAAGGCTTTGAAACCTGGCAGCTGTGCCAAGGAGCCCGAGGACTAGATGATGAGGGGAAGGACATTCCACAGCCCTCTGCTGCATATCCTGGCTCCCTGCTACACACCGAGCTATGCCTTCCTGTATTCCTCTCTGCTCCCCTGCCCAGGAGAGGAGTGAGCGGTGCCTGCACCCACTCCACCTGCCTCAGGCAGGGACAAACCCTGTCCTGAAAGTGCCACATCACCCTGCCAGGAGCTGCCTGCCCCTGGCCAGCCTGCACAACCTCATTTCACTCCTTCGGCTCCTTCCGAGGCTTGTCCCCACTATTCCCCACTGCCCCACCTCTCACTCACATGCCCAACACCGACAGTGCACCATTCACCATCCCTAACTTAGCGTGGTCCTGTCTTTGTCTCCCACCCTCTCCACCATGCAGAGAGCCAGACCACCTGTCAGCCACTCTGTCCCTGCTCACCACACCGGCGCTGCCCCTTTGGTCCCTCTTGTCCCAGCTCACTGCCTTGCACCTGCTCTCTCATTCCCCCAGAAAACCCCTTTGTCTGGTTTACTGCTTCCCCAGCAGCAACAAGGGCTAATCTGAGAGGGAATCCCTCGCTTCTGCCTGACCTCGACACACAGCTTGTGGAGGGATGGTGACCAGGGGGGAGCACAAGGAGCTGTCAGCTTGGTGTTTGCTGTGAAGCAAGGACACTCCAGCTCAGCACACAAACCCATGCACGCTGGAGTACAGCATGCCCAGCACAACTCTTTGGCATGGCTCCATCCTCATGGCTCCATCCTCACCTCCACACACCTCCTGACTGGGTACTGGAAGCCTTGCACTCCCTCCTCTGCCCCACCTCTCTCCGGGCTGTCCCGTCCCTGCCAGGGCCGGGGGCTATGGCCAGAGTCTGTCCCAGATCCGGCAGGTCCCAGCTGCTCCGCACCACCTCCTGCTGACCCCTACACCGCGATCTCATCCTCCAGGCTGTCGCCCAGGTCCTGCCTGGGCTGGACGTGGAGCAGGCGCGGCGGTTCCTCCTGGGACCAGGAGTCGCGCTCCTCGCTCTCGTCCGTGTTGGACTCGTACTCGGAGGCGATGCCCGACTCGCGGAACTTGATGAGCTCCAGGCTGCCCAGCGCTGGCTCCGGGGCGGGTGGCCCCGACTCTGGCAGAAAGCGGTAGCACTCCAGCTTCACCAGACAGTCGTTCCTACCTATGGGGCTGCCCAGGCTGCTGGGGAAAGCCGAGCTGGGGCCCAGTGGTGGTGGGTGGGTGTCCTCAGGCTGCGGAGTGGTCGGGTCGCAGAGGACGGGGAGGACGTTGGAGCGGAAGGTGATCTCCAGCAGACTGTCCTGGGAGCCTGCTGCAAGAGAAGGGCACGGCTGAGAGGCCCGGCTTGCCTGGGCATACCCTGGCCACCACGGCTGGCTGCACACTGGCCAGAGAGGAGGACAGTCTGGGGACATTTGGGTATCAATCTCCCCACTGACACTGTTTAGAGGGGCCAGTTTTGCAGGACAAAAAGTTCTCTCTCTCCCACTCCAGCTCCTGCAGGGAGTTGATGGCCACATCTGCTGGAGAGGAAGGTCAAGGAGAGGCTCTTGGGCAGGTATGGAGCTGGCATGGAGCATGCAGCCACTGAGGAGAGCAAACATACAGCTGATGGAGGTATGTGACTACCTGTCCATACAGCCCTCACCAAGCCCCTTCCCACGCGACATGCAAGCACCCTGCTGCACACACACAAGCCAGGCCAGGAGGGCACAAAGGTCCCTCTAAACAAAAAGACTGGAAATGCACAAAATCCCCAAGAGAAACACCCACACGCATGTCTTCCACAGCCCTGGCTAGATGCGAGGGGAGAGGAAGGGGCAGGAGCGCTTACTGGTCGTGTTCCCTGCCAACTTCAGCTCCAGCTCCTGCACCTGTTTGACCAGGAGTGAGATGTGCTGCAGCAAGTCCTTGTTCTGGAGCAGGAGCTGGTGCACGCGAGCCTGGGCCTCCAGCCGTGCCGCTGCCTCTGCTGCCAGCTGGTCCTTCAGCAAGTGGACCTGTGGGACAGGAGAGACTGGGTGAGTGCAGGGAGATGCTGCTCAAAGGTTGAGAGCTTTGACTCCAGCTACCCCTGCTCGTGTATCAGAGCTCACCAGCGTCCCACCAAATGCTGTGATGGAGGAGCCATTCCCTATGGGTACTGCAGATGTGATGGGTAGCACAGGGGCAGGCAGCAGTGTCACACCAGGGCACACTCAGCAATCTAGCGCGTGGTCCCCTGGCCTCTCTGATGGAAAAGCTTGAGGCAAAGAGGGGCAGCACTGATTGAACTGTCAGTCATACATGTGTGCTGTGGATGCAGGAGGAAAGGACAGCCCAGGAGGAAGCCAGATGGATGCAGAAGAGAAGACATGCTTGACCGACTGGATAGTGCTGCAGGTGCACAAGGGCACAGTCATGCATTGGAGCTGGCCCTAGCCAAGCTGTCCTTTTGGGCAGGTTTCCAAAGGACAGGGCCCTGCCTGTGGCTGGAGTGACACAGATGGCAGGGTGCTGCTGAGGTGTCGTGGCTCTGGGGGAGAGAGCTGGCTGCTCACCCTGGCCCTGGGAAGCAATGCCTGAGGGGAGCTCGCAGGCAAGAGGACCACTGATTTCAGCATCACTACCTATATGCAAGCAACTATGACCCCAGCACTGTGTTCTGGAGACAAACAGCCTGGAGTTCCTGCCTAGGGCAACTCTCTGATCTGAGCTCAAGCAAGAAGAGCCCCAGAAGCATACTCTGGCCAAGGGGACAGCAGTGACCCAGGAGCCACATTGGGTCAGCACCCCTTCCTGGCACCCACCCACAGCTCCTCTCTCCAGCAAGGACTGAGCCAGCCAGGCTTGTGGGAAATCAGGAAAGCACAGACCTACAAACAAACAAAAAACCCACAAAACAGAAAAATAACCCCACCAAACAAAAAAGGCAGTTTTGCCTTAGCCAAGAAAGTGACCTTGAGGAAGAGGAGAGAGCTCTCTGTCCCTGCCAAGCTGTTGAGCTGCTGCTGAGAGCCACTGCTGCGGCTGCAGGGCCCCCAGAGCTGCACAGCTGGGGCCACCTGCCCCCCTGGATGTGTACCAGGAGGCAGTGCCAGGCATGCGGGCAGGCAGGTGCTGCCCAAATGCGGCCAGTGAGGCAGCAGGGCAGTGCCCTAGGCAGAGCAGAGCTGAAGACAGCGAGCTTGGGGGTGGCAGGAGGCCAGATAAGGGGCTGGGATTTGCAACTTTCTGTGGAGCCAGACCAAGGGCAGGGGGTGAAATCCTTTATTCTCTGAGCACGCACCACAGAGCCCTTTTGGGTTATGAGCAACGCTATACTTGGGCAGACATAAAGGATGCCCCAAGAATGCAGGTCCCTCTTCCAGAGGAGAAAGCAACTTCCCTAGCCTGTGACCCCAGAAGGCACATGGGCTCTGGGGGCAGCAGCTTGGCCAGAAGCACAAATACTGATTTACTGATGCGAGAAGAGGAAAGCCGCGGGAAGGCACAGAAAGGCTGCTGGAACACATTGCTCAGGCCAGGAAGAAAGTTGAGCAATTGCAGAGAGCTCTGTGAGGGGTCAGGGAACAAGTAAAGCTCAGGTAATGAGCTGGATAAAGCAGCCAGAGCTGCTTAAATGAGAAATAGCTGCATGGAAAATGAGCTGCCACAGCTGCACTGCCCAGGCAGCAGTCATCCAGGGTGAACGCTGAGGCCAGGTACTGGCAAGCACACAGGGGCCAAAGGCACAAGAAACCTGGTGGCATGCAGACATAAGCATCTCATCTTTTGTGACAGGACCAGGGCAGATTGCCACTCCTCCCCCCTTGCTGCATAGCCCAAGAGGTTGTTCCTCTCCATCCCTTGAGTCACAGCTTCTCCTACCACTGCCACCTAAGCATCTCTGCCTGGAGCTCCCCGTGGAGCTGCCTGCCTTCAACGCTGCCTCTAGGCACTGAGGGGCTCAGTGGTGTGCCCCAGCCCTGCTGCTGCCCCCAGGAAAGAGCAGAGGGGAGAACCTGTGCCACAGCCACTTGCGTCTGCTGCTGCTGCTGCTGCAGGAGCTGCTGGAGAAGCTGCATCTGGTGGTGGGCAGAGAGGGGTGTTCCCAGGTCAGGCAGCTGGGCAGAGGAGGGCAGCAGCATCTTGGGCGACGCTGTCAGGATATCTTCAGGGTGGAGGCAGCCCTGCAAAACATCAATGTCAAAAAGTGTGATCCCATGCCACTCACCGCAGAGACCCACCAGGCATGCAAGAGCTGTGGCACAGAACAACCCCCCAGAATACCCAAAAGAGAAGCAGCTGCATTCAAAACAAATGCACACTTTGTTGGGGATGTGGACAAACTTTGACAACAGTATTTTTTCAGTTCTGACAACAACCCAAATACTTTTGTAGAAAATTTCCAAAAAGGCTGATGCTTCCTACGGGAATTTCCACTGTACCAACGAAGTCTTTTATTTTTGTTTTTCTGGTGGAAAAAAATCCCTATCAGCTCTGCCCCGAACACTTTCCGTGTGGCTGCACATAACTGAGCCTCAGCACATCACTCTCCAGGAGTGCTCTGGGTCCTGAGCCAAAGGGCAGCCCTGCAGCAGCAGATGGCTTTGATCTCGGAGCTGGGGAATGCTGCACAATCCCTCCTGATCCACAGGCCCTGGGGATGTGCATCAGAGCCATGGGGCTGGGGCCGTGCCGTGCCCTGAGAGTGGAGGGCAGGGACCCAGGCACCTTGGCATCAGTGTAGCACCCACCTCCTTGCCCACAGCGTCGAGGTCGGTCACGCCACGGCTGAAGTCAAGGATGTCAGCTCCAGGCAGCGGCAGCTCCACGGCGTCGATGTCCGTCTCCTCCGCAGAGGCAGCTGCTCTCTCCACCCCGGCGAGGCGGCAGGCTGTGGGAGCAGTGTCACACAGAGCACAGCCTGCTTGGAGCAGGAGCTTGCAACAGTATGCCCTTAGTGTGCTGATCCCCACTGTCCCCACCACCCACCCTCCAGCACTGGGGGGAAGCAGGTAGAGAGAGACACAGCTGCTCTTCCTGATGGGACTTGCAGCCAAAAACACGCCCAGCCCCAGCACACCAAACATGGGGAACAGCAGCCAAAACCCCTGATGTTAGATAAATAGGCCATCAAGAGCAGAAAGCACAGATAAAGCTAAAGAAAGGTAAACAAGAGATTATGGGAGGAAAAAAACCCAAAAAACAGATGTTCTGAATTCCCCAGGGAACTGCATATCATGGCCAGGACATTGCATGGAGGAAAACCAAACAATGACCAGTCCAGGACAGCCTGATGATTAGGTCATCATGACAGAACTGGTCAGAGGCAAGCAGGAAACTGCAGCCCAGCCCAGGCTGCTCCTGTTGGGATGAGGGGGAATCTAGCTCCTGGCATGGGATGGCAGGACAGGGCAGAGCAGGCAATCCATGCACAGACAGGCAGCAGGACCCTGCAGCATCCCAGTTGGCACTTGAGGGGTTTGACCAATCTCTTGCAAAACATTTGCCACCCCTCCAGCGCAGGCACCAGTACCAAGGCCAGGGCCACTCTCCAGGGCCCTGCAGAGCGCGGGGTAATGGGGTTGGACCAGCAGTCCCCCAGCCAGGAGCACGCGTCCCTTACCCTCTGCCCATGGGGCTGAGAAGGAGATGGGGTCTGCAGGCTGCCTGCAGCCCTGGCAGCTTGATGCAAGATCACAAACTTGGCTTAGTTCATTCAGGGAGTTGCAGCGAGCCAGCCCCAGCCCCAGGTGCACCTCGGGGCAGAGGGAAGGTCTGTGCTTGGGGCCTCTTCTGCGGAAGCAGCGAGGGAATGTTTGCAGCATGTGCAGCCAAGCACAGAGAGTACTTAGGCGCCCAGCAGAGTCCCGGGCGTTGCTAATGGGCTCCCAGCAAGGGGGATGTCTGCGAGGATGACGGCTAACACCTAGCGAAGGTTCCTTGCTGGGCAAGATCCTAGCTTGAGCCCAAGGCACCACAGGCCAAATTGCTGTGCAAATCCATTCCCTGCAGGTGTCAGACAGCAAGGAGCAGTATGGGAAGACAGTGTCTAAGTGGACCATGTCTGTCAGACTCCAGGACCCCCATGCCACCCCCACCTCTGCCTTCACAGAATACCTGGGACATCCAGATCATCTCCGTTCCTCTCACTGTCTCCATCCTCCTGCCCGTCTGCATTTTGCTGGGTGTGCTGCAGGCTCAGCTTATGGCAGACCTCGAATGCCTGCCCCACTGTCCGGACGATGCGCATGGCTTGGCTCTGCGGCAGGCAAGGAGAGGAGAGGAGGAATGTAACCTCAGCTGGGCTGCCCACGCACAGTGACCCCCCAGCCTGGCGCAGCTCTCGGGGGTCTCTGTGTGCTGCTGCAGGGACTGAGGCACCAGAGCTCAGATCACCAGGGTGCCAGCTGCAACACAGTGCCACAGGGTCTCTCTACAGATGCTCCACTGAGACCACACCATGGCAAGATGTGCATTCCCTTCATCTTTACCTTCTTCTTGGATTTGAAGACGTTGCACCTGAAGATATTGCTAGACCCATCCCTGGCAATGTAACTGAAGATCTTTAGGTCCTGGGAGTCATGAGAGACGTAGAATATCCTGCAAGGACAGAAAGGAAGGGAGGATATCAGCATACAGATTATCCACATGCCCAGGAGACTGGCAAGGCCACAGCCAGCGCTTCCCAGGGCACGGGGTGCTGGCAGATGCCCAGCCTCTGCAGCACATCCTTGCTAAAGCCCATCTGAAATTTTTTTGGCAGCAGTTTTGCCTCGGCTGGGAAAATTAGCCTGCTGATTCAGCAGCAGCAAGGGTTTTGCAAAGGCAGCACGGGACTTTCTCTGCTCAGCCCCCAGGGACAGAGTCAGTGGCTCAGGAGCCCTCCAGGGACTGAGGAGAGCAGACCTCACTCCCTGCCTGCTCAGACAACTGGCCTTCTTGCCCGGGGGGTGCATGCAGCCCCCTTCCCAGCATGGCTGGGACTCTCTCTCTCTCCCCTTCGGCCTCCCCAGGACAGATGGCCCATGCTCTTACTTTCTGGCAACAAGACAGAGGAAGAGAGCTGTGGACTTCAAAGAGTACCATGAGTGAGGGGAGTTGCCCTCCGCAGGGAGGGTGGCAGCTCTCCATGATGAGTCACCAGCACAGTGCCAGTGTGGTGTGGGTAAGTGGCACAGTAGAGCCGCACAAGCCTCTGTCTCCTCACCCAGCAGGCTTACCTGTAGATGGGATCGTGCATTACGAGCATTTTGTTCTCATCCCAGGCCCATTCTTTTTTCTGCAATGAAAGAAGCTGAAAATGAGTACGTCAGATGCTGCCCTTGAGAACAAGGACAGGACAGAGACAGTCCAGGGACCAACTTGAGAAGCTCTTGTCATAGCTCTGCTGCTGCTCCCCTCTCCTTTGCCAAGGGCTGGGTCCTGCTAGGAACCAGCCACATTCCACATCACCTCCCATGGGCCACCCCAAGCTCCTTCTACACCTGCATCAGGACTGGCTTAGCCACCCTGTGGGAACATGGCTCACCCATGGCTGATCCCAGCCCATCCCTCCCTTTCCCAGCCCATCCAAGTTTCTCAGAAATTCAAGGATGCTGCAGGACCCTGCACTGGGAAGGGAGGGCTCCTGCTGGTAAGGCACTGCTGCCCCAGGGACCCATGCTGCCTACCTTCTTCTTCTTCTTCAGAATGACCTTCACGCCATCCACTGAGACGATGAGATTCACTTTCTTCTTCTTGATATTCTTGGCTTTAAATTCATACTGCAGGAGATGGAAGAAAACATCTGAATTAGCCTTTCTGTGCAAGGACAGCCCCAGAAAGGGCTGAAGAGGCTCCAATATGAAGGGGCAAGAGGGACAGGGACATGTTCTCCTGATCCCACATGCCCACATCAACCTGCATATCCATGCTAGAACAGGACAAGGGAGTCTTTTTGCCCTGCAGTGTCCCCATGCCCAGCATCCAGAGGAGCACACACCGAAGCAATCCAGCTCGTGGATGTGGATAATGCTTTGCCCAGGCCAGGATGCTGCTGGGAATGGTAGCCTGTGTTTCAAAGGCACTTACTCTGCCCCTCCAAAGGGCTGTACCTCCCCAGAGAGGGACCACCACCTCCCTGGCCCTGCCAGCCCCTGGGGATCTCCAGCCTGGCTGTGTTTGCCCCACTGGCTTATGGCCATTGCTCTGCTCTGGTGAGGGAAATGGCATTTCAATTCAGGTATTTTGGGCTCAGCATAAAACTGAAGATGATTGCTGAAGACTGTGAACCTCTCCAGGGGAGATGGGATAATGCAATTACCCACTTCAGTTAGAAGTCATTGGACAGGAAAAAATCCCAACAGGAACTTCCAAAGATCAGTGACTAAACACAAAGCTCTGGTCTGGCCCAGGGAGAGAATGAGATTCCCCCGCAAATCCACCCACTCTGGCATTTAGAGTCCTACAAGTGGGGAGAGGGCTGGCAGAGGAAGGAATAGGCTAAATAAGCCATTCAGGCTGAGCAACCTCCTGCTATAGAACTTTTGAGGAGTCCCATAACTGGTCTGCCATGGGTGCACCCACATAAGGTACCCAATGTGCTGGTCTTACACACAGGGGGCTGTGCACAGCCATGGGAGCAGATCCCCTGTGCCCAGAAAAGCCCTGCATCCTGCACCTTGCCTGCCTGAGAAAGAGTGATTTAACTTATCCCCTCATTATTTCGGCAGTGTCTCTGCAGAGGAAGCACAGGGCAGTCACCCCGACGCAGTGCCTTGCCTCTGGCCCACGACAAGCCTCGCTGTGACACTTCCAGCGCCACGTGATGTATTGACTCTGGCAGCCAGAGCCAGCAGGCAGGAAAAGCTGCTGGCCCCGACCTGTGATCAAATGATAAAAGACCTGAAAGCACAATTCCTCAAAGCCATTCTAAAGTCGCTGATGGGCACGGGAGATTCAGACGGCTCAGAAAACAGTGGGGGGAATGCAGATCTGCTCTCCCCAGTGCACAGACTAGGCAAGCCCCCCCCACTCCAGGGCTGAAGCCATGGTGATGGGCTGGAGAAAGCAGAGCTCAGGCTCCCATCACAGCTGTGGCCAGCCTCAAAACCCTCAGCATACATCCATATGCTGCTTGCACAACTTCTTCCTCATGGTGAGGGGTCCCCCACCAAAGAGCCCACTGCTGTGGGCTTCCAACTGCTATCTCTCATATTCCCCTTCCCCATCATTAATAAGAGAGGTGAAACTGCATTCAAGAGCTCCTTCTCTGTCTTACTAAAACACCAGACCAGGGCCAAGATCAGTGTGTCAGGTACCTAACACTGAAGAAATGTCTTGATTCAGCCCTGAAAAGGTGAACTAACCAAAGTAATCGACCAGCACCTTCTGAAGCTCTGCATGTGATTTTTCTAGGAGCCACAGGCTGAGCTGGATGCTCTCTGCAGCACCCAGGGCGACTGCACAGCACCTTGGGGCACTGCAGCCTGATTTATTGGTCCTAACTATCATTGATTATAAACATCAAGTTTCATTTCCAAGCTGCTGGTGCCATGGGATTTCTATTCTGGACTACCCCAAGTGCTAATTAATGTGGGCTTGGAAGAGACAGTAACCCTGAAAAATATCTCAGGGTTAGACAGACTATTTTTAGCCTGTTTTGGGGGTGAGTAACAGCCCTAGGACATCAATGCAGACAGGCCAGGAGGTTACAGCAAAGATGCTACCCAGCCCCAGCATATTTCAGGGATAGAAGCAATGAATTGCTCCTCAGAGGCTGCAGGCAAGGGATGCTGCCCAGGCTTGCCCCAAGCCTGGCAGAGGGGTGTGCTGTGGGGAGAGCTGTTGTGCCTGTGCCATACTGAAGCCAAGGTCTCCTTGTGCTGAAGCCTCACAGCAAAACTCCAGCAAGAACCAACAGAAACAAAGAAGTCAAATTCTCAGAAGGGCCGACCAGCCAGATTTGTTAAGCCCTTCCATAAATCCAGGTCTTTATCCTGACACCGAAGTGAGAGCCAAGCTCCTTTACAAGCCTGAGCCATGTGCTTAGAGAGCTATTGCCCATCCCGCCCCATCCAGAGCTCATTAGTGCAATCACTCCAACGAGCCCAGAGGCTCTCTGGGATATGCTTCCCATGCACCAAAGCACTGCTCTAGCCAATAAAACGCTAATGAACTCATGCCTACTGGGGCTCTAATGAAACACTAACCGTCATTTAATAATAAATTAGCAAGGAAGAGGATTCAATAAGACAGCAATTCAGCTGAGCTGCCTCTCGCATCCCAGGGCTGTGCAGGGATTGCACACAGAGTCCCACAGGCCAGGAGATGTGGTGCTGATTTTGAGAGACTTTCTAATTTGGTCTAAGGGAGCGCTACCTTTGTGCAGTTCCTCTAAGTGAGATCTGAAACTCTAAGGGATGAACCCAAAGCTGTGCAAGGTAGAACCTGCACTGGCTCATGGGGCAGCAGTTCACGTTAGCAGTGACAGCAGGTGCCATAACTAGCCTTGCTCAGTGCCTGGCTGTGCTGGGGTGGCTGGGTGAGACAGGCATGGCTCACACAAGCCCTCGCACACCCCAGTGAGCCCCTGCAGCCCCCAGGAAAACAGCAGCTGATGGTGGCAGCCACCCCAAGTCTGTGCTCAGGAGCAGTGCTCAGGGCTGGGCTGGGTGCTCTGCCTGCACCCACACTCACCCCAGCCTAGGAGAGGTACATGGCCCTGTGCTACCTCCTTGGACTTCTCCAACGCCATAGCAAATCCTTTCCATTAGGAGACTACAGATGCCAATATGGGTTTTTTGCTCCTGAAGATTTCTGCATATCACACCAATGTGCTGCACATCGACAGGACCTGCCCTTGCTAAAACCTGCCCTGCAAGCCCCTTTACTCTCTGTATGACTGACCAGGGTCTCCCTGGGCTTGGAGTTATTCTTGACCGCAACTCTGTCTGCCCCAGGCAGAAAGATCTGCTGTGTCTGCCCACATTTGTCAACATCTCCCTTTCTGCTGCAAAATGGAGAGAAAAAGCTTAAGAGGGATGCAAAGCGTTAGGGTTTTAGCTTTTTCTGCCACTGAGAGGAGAGCAGAGGTGATGGCAGGGTTGGAAATGCCATCAAAGGGATACTGAGATGGTCTGCACAGCCACAGCTGCTGCATCCAAAACAAGCAGACACATTGGCTGACCCACAGGAAAAGAAACCCCACATGTTTCCAGGGTCACTGGACCACTGCCAACCAACCCTTGCTGGGAATACATCCTGCATCCCCAAAGATGCACTAAAAACCACACCAATCACTGCTAATGAGCTTCTCACTGAGCCATTACAAAACTGCCTCTGTGGGGCAAAGCAAAAGGGGGTTTCTGAAAGCCACCAGCATAGCTCCTGCTCCACTGCCGGGAGGGGATGCTCAGAGGATGCTCAGGGAGAGCTTTGCTATGCATTACAACAGGAACAATACCAGGGTCTCTGTATTCAGGTGCAGGGAGCTGACTAACAGCAATTCACCACACACTTACAGGGCACTGCATTCTGATTTATGGTGACTGCTTCAGGAGAAAATACACATTTCACACATGATAAGCTCTGCTGCCGATGGCTCCATCTTGGAGAGCTGAATCCCAGCCTACAGCTTAATAAAGAACTGATACAGAAATAATTATCCAGCTTGGGATCAAGAAAGGAAAGAGGATTTATGCAGCTTTCCCATGATCCCCTTTGATTTCACACCATGTAGCTTTTCACTGTATTACTTATAACCAACTAAATGGTGTAACAGTCAGAAGAGCTTTCTTGGCCTTCCACTCTGGTAGTTTGCCCATCTTGGACACAATTCTGGATCTTTAAATATCTGTAATAATACTGCAACCTTAGGTTAATGATATTCATTCTTGCCTATAGCAATGTGGAATCCCAGAAGACAGAGAAGAAATAATTTCAGGGAAATACAGAATAAATGAAAAAAAACAATAGAGAAACCATCTGTTCTTAGACTTGCAGAGCTCTGCAGTTGGTCTCCAACTGAAGCTCTGAGAGCTGTACTAAAATTTTTAAGCAAAGACTGAAAACTGACATCTGAGATACACCAGCTGAAAAAAAAACTCACCACAGTTATTCAAGAAAATATGCAAAGGTGGTCTCAGTAATGAAAAAGAAGTATTAGATCACTCATAAACTCCAACCAGCTAAGTGAATAAAGATTATCCTTTAATTTTACACTGCCCACAAAAAAACCCAAAACCATGTTCATCTTTTCAACTGGAAAAGAAACATCTACTTCATTGGAGCATGAGAGTCTTACCATTGACCTCAGTTCAATGGGAGTCTATTCTCAACATCTGTCTTTTATGTGGAGTTTGGTATTTAAATAACTTTAGAAGGAAAAGAAGCCAGCTGGTGTATGCATCATTGCGCAACACATTCCTACTGGCAGAGTATTAAAATTGCCCTTTCTGGAGAACTCAGTAACATATGTTGCTTAATAGAGAGCGCATGTAACCTTGTCAGCTTAGAGTAAAATTATGTATGAATCCGAGTGTGATGGGTATGTGTGAAAAGCAGGGAAAACTCAGCATCCCTAGAAAGATGATATCCATCCCTGTCGTGGTGTTTCCACACAGTAGAGGTGTAAGAAAACTTGTAACCACGCGCTGCACACCAGGTTATGCAGATTAACACCAAAGATGAGAGATGATGTCTTATAGATTCATCATCCCCCCACATTCACAACCAACGAAAAATGGTAACCTGAATAAAAGTGCCTTCATTTCATTCCAGTCCA